GAAGGGTCACATCACCATGGGCACAGAGAGAACTGCTTCTGTCTGTGCTCCTGCACTCTGAAGATGCCGGTCACAGGTGCTGGCGAAATGTTAGGAAACAAAACTTCAAGAATACGGCCACACAGCCCGGAAGAACCACACCAGCCATAAGGTTTATAATGCTGAAATGTAAGAGTTCACTACTTTTGTGAAAAGTATCAAATGATATTGCACACTGAAACAACAAAACACAGCTGTTGTTTTTTTTAATCAGTAACCCAACTGAATATTTCACTTGCCAGCAGGAGCACTATATATAATTACAGAAACTGAATTCAACTGCATTAACAAAGTTATAAGTGATTTAAGATTCAATATTATACTATGAAAGTATAAAAACTGAAACTATAAATTTACATGCTTAATCTAGCACCAATCATTTTAGGTGTAACATTTATGGGCTCTTCTTCATCTATAAGAATCATACCAAATGACACCACTGATCTGGAATTCAGCTGTCAATAATGACCAGCAATGTTTCTATGTCATGCTTTATTGTGAGTTTCTGACATCTACTCTTATGATCTATCTAATGAAGAGATAATGAGCACTGGCAAGTTAGATTTACTCATAAAAGCTTGTATGTTGGCAAGATCAAAACTGGATGTTGGAGTGCCTGCTCCACAATAACTTTGTGAGCAAATGATAGTGCAGATAGACATATGAGATAGTGTTTCTGTTTATGTAACTTAGTTGATCCATTGACATGAACATCTACAGATCAGGTAAGCATACATAACATACAAAGTAATAAAATAACAGAAAAATAATAATAAACAATGCATTTTGACCTGTGTATTGAAACACTAAAAATTTGTCAATTGCATATAATTTACTTTGTATCACTGAACTTTGTTACATACACATTTTATACAGTACTTGCCACTGAACATAGCCACATTTACAGTACCCTGTTCAGGTGACTGAATCAGAACCAGTGAAGAAAACTGTCTTGGAGGGGTTTGTATCCAGTTAATCTCAATAATGTTATTGTTTTTGAATAACCTTTTTGCAACTATATGAACTGTAGTTCATAAAACAATTTCTGAAATACTTCCTCCATTCTGAAAACTTTCATCATTACTATACATGTCAAAACATTTTGAATTCAAAATGCCCCAATTCAAACTCAAAATTCAATAGGAAATATATTATTGCTACTATTAAATCTATATACTACTAAAACTCTTGCTATTTGTTTGTAACCTTCAATTGGGTGAAATGGCACATCATAGGGCAACAATTTTTGAGCCAAGATACTTCAAATGGGCTACCTTACAGAATGCACCCAAAATCCAGGACCCATTACTATAGTGGGATTGAAATTTGGCAAAGTTGTGGCCACTTCAGTGCTGCTCCGTTGCCACCACTTCAGCACTGCTGTGGATTGGGGAGAATGTATGGGGGTGCGCAAGGCGCAGCATAGGTGAGGGAGTGTGAGGGTGCAGTGCAGGTCAGAGAGGGTGTGACACGGGTCAGGAAGCATGTGTGGGGGTGTGTGAGGGAAGGAAGGCGGAGGGAGGGAAGCAAAGGAAGGAGGCACGAAGGAAGGAAGGAAAAAAGGAAAAGGGAGGAAAAAAGCAAGGCCGAAGGAAGGAAGGAAGGAAGGAACAGGGAGGGAGGAAGGAACAGGCAGGGAGGGAGGGAGGGAGGGAGGGAAAAAAAGAGGGAGGGAAGGTGGGAGGAAGGAAGGAAGGAACAGGGAGGAAGGGAGATTTCCAACTTTCCCTGTCAGCTTCTCAAAAGGAAAGTGAATGAGGAAGCCTAGTGGGTATTTAAAAATAATCTTTCAGAATAGATTATCCTCCGAAGAAGTTGTACAACACTAACAAAATCTAAAAACATAAAAAGATTACATTAAATCACTGTAAAGAAAAACAGTATAAAATTTAATAAACCAATCAGATATAAACAATAACAAAATACACATTAAAGTATTGACAACATCCTTCTACATTAATGCCTCTTACATAATATTTTTCAAGAGAATTTAAAACCATTAAAGCTAAAAAGATTGAACCAGGCAAATCTCTTAGATAAAAGGACTGTTTTATAAATGAAAAATAATTTAAATGGGAGTTTTAATGTTTTGGGACCAATCTGGCTACAATATGCACAAGATTAATAATTTCTTCAACTTAAAAATGTAAAGGAAGCAGCAAAATGTCCCCCTGCTGATTCTGAAAGGATAATTCTTGCATCAGAGGAAAATACTAAATGGGCAGTGTCAAAATTTTACAGTATCTTACTAAAG